GGAAGTCATAAAGGTTTCACCAGCTTAGAGTAATATCATGTTTAACAGAAGCCTACTTCAATAGCAAACATGATCATCATTTACTCAGCAAGTGCGACCAAAAATTTTAGCATGATGATTTCTTTTTGCCAATTTGCTAATGTTTGTATGAATACATCATAAAACCCAAAGGTCTCATTTGATGATAGAATAAGAGTCACCACTGGATTTTCTCACATACAATAGCTGTTTTGCAGATAAACTTTTACTAAAACAAGTTGATCATAATTTTTTGTCAGCTGCACCCAAAGACACGTCCAATTGCATAATTGTTAAGAAGTGGGGTAAACTCACAGAAGCTACAGGCATATGATTAAAAAACAAGCAGAAACACTATTCAGCTTGCCCTTACTTTTCTGCTGCTCTGCTACTCCTATCTTTTTCCTGAGTTGGCACTTCACTTTTTTTAGGGCAAATGTATTCCGCAATTCTTCTATGCTCATTGAGGAGAAACTGTCACTGACATGAAGCCTGGATAAATTGCATTCATCTAAAAGCTTTGAACCTTCGGCAGGGTCTGGGCCGGCTGATAAATCCTCAAGTTGTTCTTTAAGATGCTCCATCATTGTCAAACCTACACAATTGCTCGTCAATCATCATTTAACTTAATACAAATAAAAGTCATCAAATCAATATTCAGGTAAACAAAGAAATGAACCCAGGTGTCATTGACTTCACATTTGGGGACGTGGACCCTTATACTCAAATGTCAGGTTTTAAAAGCATGCAGGAGAGCAAAAGCTTTAAGGTCATGCACATTGAAGTAACAAACAAACACGTATCCAATCCTAACAACATAATTAAGGATTATGTAGTATAATGTAACAGTATGAAGCAAATAGAGTCAATACATACCATGGCATATAATTAAAAGAAAACAGCTCTATACTTTTACAAACTAAATATTTCTTAAATTTGGGGGAAAATGCCATCTAGGAGTTTGACACTGACTTGTGATATACTGATTCAAAGAAGATAAAGTATGTACTCCATATATTGACTGATTTCAGGCTTTTAGTAACAAAAGTAATTACTTAATTTAAAGTTCTCAAGTTACCTAATTTCTTATGCTACCAAAAAGTGTTGCATTTAAGCAGTAGTAAGGGCATAGAAGACTTTCCAAACTTCAGTTTCTTAAGATTATCCAACAGTCTAAAAGGATGGTTATGGCCAATGCAAGCAAATAGACAACTTACATTAAAGTCAATACTACTGATATCCTTTAGAACGACAACTAATGTACATGGTACAAGTTCAACCTTGCATTTACAGGTAAATTATGTTAGTTATGACCAAGAACTGAAGAAAACTGTATTGATGATGGTGAAAGAAAGTCAATCCTCAGTTCTCTAAGGTTATCCAACAGTCTATGAGGATAATTATGGGAAATGCAACCATACACAACATAAATTCAAGACAACAACATCCACATGCTTTAGAAAAACTATAATGCACTGGTTACAACTTCAACCTTGCATTTGCAAGTAAATTATATTAGTTATTAAAAGAATGAAGATAAACTTTAGGAATGATGTTTGAAAGTGGGTGCATGGACCTCCTAAATACATAGAGGCTCTTTTACAAGGTTTAAATATAATACAAAAGAAATCATGCTCATGTCATAAATCTAAAGAAGCGTAAAGGTAACAAAAGCAGATGCATATTTCAAGGAAATGACAAGCAAGACATACTAAGGTGTCGGAGCTTTTTCAAGTCAAACTCCTTGGCCAAAGATGGATGGCCAATTACTTTTGCTCGCCGCATAGCCAGCATTTTTAAGGCAATCAACATATCCTACCAAACAAAAATCTGTCGTTACAAATAATAAACATTTGAACCATAAAGAAAAGGATTGCAATCGTGCTGATTCAATTAAATAGTGTACAGGGGAAAAGAAGAGCTTACAAGTTCTGATTCAGATAAAGAACAAAGCCAACGGACATCTTCAATGTCATTATTACCCAGCATATCACTAGTACAAGTATCAACCTCTTTTCTTTTCCCCATAGGAAAAAAGACACTGATGCAGCAAAACTCAAGTATCTGCCAAGTTTTTGCACAAGTATCTTAAATTTTAGGATTGAAAATCACATGAAAAAAAAAAAAAAAAAAAACTCCTTTCTGATATCTTAAGTGAAATCCTGCACGACTACACAGGCACTGTTATTTGTTTCAAATTCTTCACTAATTTCAGAAAATGTTCAATTCTGAAGTGGCCCTTCAAGAGGAAACAGGAGGAAACAAACATCTTCTTCTTCTTCTTCTTTTTTCCTTCTTTAGCATTTTTTGCAAGTTGGAAATTCCAGATTAACAGGAAAAAAAATCCCAACTTAAGCCAATTGATACTCAAAAAATCACAAATTTCATAAGAATCCCCAGTGCCCCCACAGGTCGTAACAAGAGAGGAAGTTTTTGGCTCGGGAGACTTACTGGTAGCGGTGGAGGCGATGTTTCAAGACTCAACTGCTGTCCAAAAGAAGCTTCAGAAGCAATGGGAAGGTTTTTGGACGTCAGAGTAGGTTTGCCAGGTTTTTCCACTGCCTTTGCACCGAGAACTTGTACTAGATGAGCATCAAACAATTAAAAAAAACCCAAAAAACACAATAAAAATTATATTCAACTTAAAAAAACAACCCACAAAAATTTCAAAATACAACTCAAAAAATTCAAAAACAACCCAAAAAACACATTATACCCAACTTCAGTTTCCAATCTTCGGTAACAGCTACTTAATGATACCCAAATTTATTTGAGCACCGGTAGCATCAAACTAAATGATAAAGTAATACCGGAAGATAGAAGCCAAAGCTTTCAAACTCCAAAAAAAAAAAAAACCCATAATACAAAGTTAGAAATAAACTGGAAGGCAGTGCAAATTTTCCTTCTGATCAATTCGCCAGACCCAAAAATCCCAACAACCTTAGACAAAACTAAATTCCCCGAATTGCTGGAAATTCATGACAAACCTGTTTAATTAGAAGTTGTTGCTATTTCATCCGCTGTCATGTGGGCTTTGTTCTTGATGTGAGCCCTTTTTTTTCCCCTCTTTGGCTCTTATATGAATTTGATGTGAAGCGTAAAGTGATTTTTGGAGGGAGGTCGAGGAGTCGGGCGCCGGGGTTTTCATGGGGGGTTTGTGATGATAGAGGGCGCAAATACTTGTGTACGTCTGGTCTACTCCTCACCTGTAGACCGAACGGTTAAAAAACTCGCCACGTCATCAATGAGAATCAAAAGTCTTCAGACGCTAGAATTTTGTTCCTGCACCTCATTTAAGCATGATTCTCTTCCCTCTTACCTTAACCTTTGGCTTCGCCAGATTTCGATCTCTCAGTTCGCTAGAATTTTTTTTTATACGTATTCATTGCCTAATACTAGTACTAGTACAAAGTATGGCCTTTGATTATGGTTTCAGCTTAAAAAGAGAAAGAAAATTACAGTTTTAGTATGTGGAATATCAGCGATTTGGATAAAAGCAAATTTAATTCTAAATATTTTAATTTGTAAGCACATTTAGTTTAATTGATTGATTTGGCAAATTGTTATCAGAATTTAATCACGTCAGTAGCACATGCTGATGGCCAACTAAATTTGAAAAAAGTAAAGACAAATTATTGTACTTTTGATCCATTAGTGCCTTTTAATTACATATTATGCCTACCAATATACTGATGTCTCAAATATTTGATACTAAAATTATAAATTTCTTTAAAAATAATAATATTGTGTTCGATTGCATTTAAAGAGTGAGACAGAAAACCTCACAAAAAAATTTAAAAACTTGCATAGGATATTTTGGTCAAAAAAAAAAAGGAGTGAAAATTGACGGGTTAAATTGAAGTGGAAGGATTTTTTTTTTTTAAAGAAGGCCAAAAATTTCTTAACATACTATGTTCAAAATAATTTCCATCCATTTAAATATATAACATCTAAAAAAATCAAATATTAATTTTAATTATATATATATATATAATATAAACTCTCATAATATTAAAATTATACAAAATTAAAAGAGATCAACGTTATTTTGCACATATATTTACACATTATAAACTAAAATTTTCAAAACTTAGGGCTATCGCCCATTCGCCCCCATCAGATCATCCAATGGCTGGAGTATTGAGGGTTGAATTGAACGCAAAGAAGAATCCTCCGATCCTGGGCTGAATTCTGAGGGCTCAGTGGAAATTTTGCGTGGGAGAATTTCTCGTCTGACGTGGCAAGTTCTACATGGCTTGGTCTTGGAGTGGGCCATACACGAGGCCTACATAAACTATTTATTATTTGGGCTAATTTCGGAAACCTCCCCTGAGGTTTCTGACACTTGCACTGAGACTCTCCAAGTTTTAAAAATTTCATTGACCTCCCTTACTTTTGAGTTTTTGGTAACAAAGCAGTCCAAATCATATTACAATATTATTTTCAGGTGTGAGAAGGTATTTTTATTCCATTCCATGGCTGCCCTTTTGCTCCTTGTATTAGTAGAAGATTGAAAGAAGAATAAATGATTTGGACTGATTACTAAAGTTGAGGGGGTGTAAGTGCAAAAAAAAATTGTAAGCACCATATCTGCCATGCAACAGTTATTTGTCAGATTTTGCAACGGCCAGATTTTGCACGTTCAGTAGCAATAGCATATAAAGCAAAGCAACTTAACTACCTCTGATTCAAGCTATTATCATTCTTTGCTGCTGATTTGGAGTGATAACAAAGTGAATTTGCTGTGCTGCAATTATAGCTCTCAGCACATTGGCCATCGAGTCATGACAGAAACCAACTCCTTGGCCATCCAGTCGGATGTGGCCTCAGCACATTGGGGGCGCTCGCTGCCGCCGGAGGCAATTTACTACCATTTTTAGCTCTTCAAAATCCAAGTAAATTCTATTATGTCCGGATTCTTTTGAGCCTTTTTTTTTCAGGCCAAAAAATTTAGCAATAAGGAGAGATGGCGGCACAAAAGAGAATCAAAGCAATATTAGAGAGGCTGTTTCCGGAATCTCCGACCACCGCCACCACCAAATCCAAGCCTAATAATAGCGATAATAATCATCTATATAATAACGGCTCCTCTGCTTCCACCACCACCAGGTCTTCTTCTTCAGCTTTCCTCGTTAATTCTCTTTATATAACTCTTAGCAACGGCTTCTCATTGCTCTTTTATGTACTCATTGTCCGTGATGATCTATTTAGGAGGTTGTCTACTTTCAAGTCCATGATTTGGTTTGCTAAACCACAGGTACAAATCTCAGAGCCTGCTCTCTGCAATGGGAATTGTTTTTTTTTTTTTTGGATGGTTGGTTCTAAATTGCAAGAATTAATTCTTTTCTTGTCAAATATCAATCATGGGCATTGGCTGTTAAAGTTTTGTCTAAATTTTCCTGATCCAATTTATAACTCCAATTCTAGTACACAAAATTTTTCGGATAGTTGAGAATTGATAAAACTTTCATGAGATATTCACAAGAAGATCAATGAGGCGTGGCAACATTTCACTGTTACAGCATAAAGTAATCTTGCCTGTTTTAATGAGATGCTGGAATCTCCGTGAGCTGATCCACTTGGCCATATAATTATAGGCATCATTTGTCAAAACTGTTTCAACTTGGATGTTTGCCTTTAGTGGCCATTGTGGTGGCTCATAACATCATACATTTTGGTGCTCATATATTCATGAAACCAGAAATTTATATTTTGTAAAACTCCATCACTCCACATCACCGATATATACACCACATTTAGAATCCACCGTGGTTCATCTTTTCAAAAAGACTTGTCCAGAATGTAGTCCCTTGTGAGAATATAAATATCATCGAGTTTCTTGGCTGCTATAAATCAGGTTTTCAGTTCTTATATTTTTTAGAAAAAAAAAAATTCTCTCCCATTTTTTCGTAAGCACTGAATGAGAGCCTAAGTTTCTCAGCGACATTCAAGTATTCTATCATAATTGAAAGTGCAGACATGTATTGCCAGCCTTCATGCCAAGAGCTCAGGATGGAGAGGCTCACTAAAATTTTCCTCTATGGTATTGAAAAGTTCATTAAACTGCCGGCGGACTTTAAGGGGAACAGAAGATGGAAACACAGAAAGCATGTGCAGTCCCAAAGTATGCTTCTCTTAATTAATATTTCTGCCAAACTCTAAACGAAACTCTAAGGACAAATTGGTCATTTCAATGCTCTGCATGTCAGCGATGGACCCCAATACTCTGCCAGGGGAGCTAGGTGAAATTTTTAAAACCTGGAGGGTCTCAGTGCAAGTGTCAGAAACCTCAGGGGAGGTTTGTAAAATTATCCCTTATTTATTTCTTTTTTATTTACTTTTTGCCCCGTTCAAAAACCTCAGTCCCATTTTTTCTCTATTTCTCAGGCTTCCCTTTCCCTCGCTCTAGGAGTAGATATAACCGCCACCGCCACCGCCGCCGCCGCCTCCTCCTCCTCCTCTATCCTGGGAAGTCTACCCAGCCAAAAAAGGTCCAAATTTCCTCTGAGGTACTAAGTTTCTGTGAATTTTGTGAATGTTACTTGTAATTGGTTAAAGTTGTGGTTTTTGGGGTTAAAGCTAGGAATTTTTTTTTTTTTTGGGTTCTGTTCATTTTTTGTCGAATTTTCAACTTGAAAATAGGAATGATAGAAAACGGAAGAAATGAAGTTTAACTCCTCCTGCGTTGCTCTCTTTTTAAGGCCATGTCAGAGTTGAACGTGTTCAGAAGGTATTGAATTTAACTGCTGATGATGAAAACAAATTAAGGTACCTGGTAAAGATAGTGTAAAAATTCACCTAAGATGTCAGAAAGGAGAAAATGATTCTTTTTCCTTTTTAATTTGTGTGATTTTAGTTGGCAATTTTATGTCCAGAAGTTGATAAAGTAAAAGATTCATGACTCTCTCTTCAAGAGAATAGAAGCCAAACATCAAAAACAGCTAAGTATATGCTTATTTAGTTGAGAGTCCCATGAAAAATAACTTAAAATGGGATATTGCAGTTGAATGAATTTTTATGTAGTTGTAATGAATATAAGAGAAGTCAGGTGAAGTCGTCCCCGACTGGATATGGGAAATTGCTCTATCCTTTTGCCGTTATAGTTAACATCTAGAGATATCCCTATTTGAGTCGCCAAGTTTATTGCAGTAAAAGTTGCATTGAACCAGTCTACCAGCAAGCAGTTGGATATCTCAGTGACTTAAAGATAAAAAAGATTTGGTAACTTATAATATGAGCACATTTGGAAGATTTTGCTTCATATTTCTTGGGAATTGTAATTTGCTTATGGTAATTTAGAAGCTTTCAGTTTTTTTTTCTTTTTTTTTTTGTTCCTCTGTATTTTGCAATGAAACTGGGGACATTCTATGTTGTCTTCCAGTAATTAATAAGTGAGTGAAGACAAAAGCTCAAAATTGTATGGTAATGTGAGTTGCAGATGAAGGATAGCCCGAAACAAAGAGGATGCTGATATAGTATAAACATGAGACTACAATCTGTGACTTTAAGCTAAAACCTTGGCTACAACCTAAAACTTAAGCATGTAAGCAAGTTGTCCTATGAAGATGGAGTTTTTGTACCTGCATTATTGGTTATCTTGTGATGATGGTGGTTGTTTACTTATTTATTAGTTGCCCAGATTGATGGCATTTACATATTATCAATATTATTGATACTTCTAGTAATCATAATGGTCATATTTAAGCTATATCCTTGAGTCGCAGCCCCCTATAAATATCTAAACTTGGCTGGATATATCTTTTAGAGCTAATGGAAATTCTATTGCTATTCTTTTGATATTCATAAGAGGACATTTATCTTTTTATTACCTTCAGGAAATAATTTTACTTTTTCCCTGGTTGAAATGGGTTCACTCTTTAACATAATCAGTTTTCTATTTTGTTTTTTGTAAGTAAATATCAGTTGCAGTTTTCAATAGTTGTTGCCGCTTTTTCTAATTTAAAACTTTTCACTTATGTTGTAACTCCCTCATTTTCACTGCAGATATAAGATAAACCTTTTATCTAGTGGCTTCCATCCTAATGGAGACTGATGCAGATGCAAAACAAAGCTCTTTGGTTTTGATCAAGCAAGGTGCAGAGGCTGTAAGTGAAAAAAAATTTCCACTTTTTATTCTATTTGATAAAAAATAAGCGACCACTAAGATTGGCATCCTCAACATTGTATTCCTCCTCGATAACCTACATGCTTCTTTCATCTAACGATTAAAAAAGGAAAAAAAAAAGAGCTTATAGTTTAGTCATTCCATGAACCTGATGATAAGTAGTTTATTTTGAAATTTCTGTGTCAGTTGTCTTGCATCTTGTTTTCACTGCCACGACTACATTAGCAAAGATCATATATCTTTTGCTTGGCCTTGTTGTCTCAAGTCTTCATCTACTTAATGACTTCTCTTTTCTGTCTTCAGATAGAGCAGATTGGTTTTATTCTTGGATACATAGTTATTGGTATTTGAGTGCCTATTGTTGTCTATATATGGTGCTGATGCATTTGAAACTTTGTTTGCTTCTCAGGATAATGAAATTTAGGTATTATGCATTAACACACTCTTGTACCGTGCAATGGAAATTAAATAAAAACAAGTGTACCTGCTATGTTCAAACTTGGATTGCTGTGTTAATTTTGGTTTTAATTGGGAGTTAACTGCATTTACTTGTGTGCAGTTTAGGTATAGAATAAAGTGAGATACTTTTCTGGGGTCTGTGAAATGAAGTCAGATCGGTTACAGACTGTACAGTCAGGTCCTTGTGGTTTCAGTAACTAACCCCTTTGGTTACTGTAAACGATGTAAAAATAGAATGAGCACAGGTTTTGCAAAAATAGACCGTAAAAAATGATGTAAAAGATGTAAAAATAGCTGTTACGAAGTAATTATTGGTGGGTCAAAGATGGCATAAAATAAAACAATCACCTCACACTGCTTGCTTCTTCTTCTGCCCTCCCCTTACCCTAAAAACTCCTTGGTGCCCCCTTTTGTCCCAGGTTTCCGAGACAGGATGAATCCCTCTCTTTTTCTACCAACCTTCCCTCCGTTTAGCCCACCCTGAAAGTTACTCCTATTTCCAATCTTCTTCCCCTTCTGCCTGAGGTTCCTCCTACTGCTTGTCATGTACTAGCCCTGATCTACAATGTGGGTTTCTTCAAATGGAAGTATGCTTTGAAGGTTAGAATGAGAAAGGTGCAAAGTAATAGGAAGAAGAAGCAGAATAAAGTGAAGCCTAGGAAATATACCTTCAAGATTGAGAAACCAGGCTATAGGGGAGAAAGGTTTTGGGACATATCTTAAAGCTGAATATTGTATTTGCAAAGTCACTTCTTAAAATGAGGTTTACATAATATTTTTCGGTGCACAAATCACTTAACTGTGAAAGTGGATGAAAAGTGGAGTAGCTAGCTATGAACCTTTGAGTTCAGGTTCTTTGATAGAGAAAACTAAGCATCTAATATACTACACCAACATGCCTCTACCTTATTCCTTCCTTTACCATTCTTCTAACGTCGTACTTCCTACTGCAGAGGGTATTTGAGTCAACATTTGTGGGTAGGAGGTCTATTATAAAAGAACGCTTTTCGAAGAAATATAGGCATCCATCCCTGGACTCAAAACTTACTCTCAAACGCTTAAATGCGGTGAGTATAGCTAGATGGAACTGCTCTCTTCTGCTCTAGTGAATCATATGGCTTTTTGCTTAACTCTTGTAACTGATGAAGCAGGAGGCTAGGTGCATGACAAAAGCTAGACGACTTGGGGTTTCTACACCAGTGCTTTATGCCATGGACCCTGTGCTGCATTCCCTAACTTTTGAATATGTTGAAGGTCCCTCGGTCAAAGAGATATTTCTTGACTTTGGAGAGCAAGGTATTATTGAAGAAAGGATGGATGATATTGCAAAACAGATTGGTGATGCAATTGGAAAACTGCATGATGGTGGCCTCATACATGGTGATTTGACAACATCTAACATGTTAGTTCAAAGTGGCTCCAATCAGCTCGTAAGTGGTATCCTGTTTAGTGTTTTTCTGGCACTTTTGCAGACTTTTGATGATATATTTGCCAAAGCATGTTTATTCATCTTCTTTTTGGATATAAATGTTGTAATATTCTTTTAAATTTTTTAATATTATTGTCTCTGCCAGGTACTAATTGACTTTGGTCTAAGCTTTACGTCAACTCTTCCAGAAGATAAAGCAGTTGATCTATACGTACTTGAACGAGCATTACTCTCCATGCACTCTTCTTGTGGAAATGTAGTAAGTAATATTCTTGTCTTATTAGTAAACAATATATTTTGGTTAGGATAATTTGATATTTAGACTCATTATCAAATATGCGAAAGCAGACCTTTTTTTTTTTCTTGGGAGTTTGGTATGCATGCCATTATTATATGCTTATTTTTGTAAAATAGATAAAATAACAACAGTTGAAATACTTTGAAAACCTGTTTGACTGCTTCAGGAGAGTAACCTTTTCAGTACTTTGATTTCTGTAGAGTATTTATAGTACTCAATTGTGTGTTGATCTTTTTATTCTTTCCCTAGGCTTTGGATGAAGCATCAGCTTATGGTCAAACTAGCTGTCCTGAAAGTTTAGCATTTCCATTATCATATCAGCTATTTGCAATATATGGTGCTTGTACACGCATTCTCTCCAAAATTTAATAGTTTTCATTAGCAACCTCTTGTTGGCTCGCTATGTTCTTTATTCTGGATATTGTATAGGTAGAACATTTGTTGAAGGAAGCTTTTACCATACAATGAGTGGTATATGTATTTTGCATACAAGACCAACACCTGTAAATGGCTGTAGAATTTTATTAGCATTTTCATACTCATGTCTGCATAATATGGTTGTACTGCATAAGTTGGTTTTTATCATAGTTCTTTTGAAATTGTTTAGGTATCTATTGTTGAGTGAAATCCATGTAAAGTTGTAATTAATCAATTTGTGTTGTACACATTGCACAGATGGATCGAATTCTTGCTGCATATAAGAAGTCCTCAAAGCAATGGTCTTCGACCCTTAATAAGCTAGCCCAAGGTGCAGAGCTCCACTTTGATAATTGATCCTATATTTTTCTCTTTTTTTTTGGAAGAAAATACTGTAGCAGGTTTTAATTCTAATTTTGCTTGATGTCCTTTTGCTGATTCATAACTTATTTCAGTACGACAAAGGGGGAGGAAGCGGACGATGGTTGGTTAAGCTGCTGCAGCTCTCTGTTTACATTAAGGTAAGAATACAAAGATTGCGAGCTTATATCCAGTGCTAACAAGAGGAAACTATGTTGTCTGACCACAGATTTAGCACTGAAGAATTTGTTAGTAGTTAATACTAGTTTTTATGCAGTTTTCATCACTTTGTTACATGCTTCTTCTCTTTTAGACGGACAGACAGCTTCTCCTCTCCTCCCAACAACTTCGAATTCTTCATGGCTTTCCCTCTCTGGCAGCCTGCACACCTCTCTGTCTACCTCCACTCTCACATATATGATCATGTAACACTCTCTAAACCAACATATTTCCCAGGACCCACCTTTAAAGACCATCTGCCCATTTTGAGCAATACCCCTTTAATGACCCTAAGCATCCACACTCCAAAAGGACCTTAGACATGACTCCATACTGCAATCCCTCTTAAGTCTTCACATTATTGTTTGACTTGCTTCATTTATTGGATTAGCAGTTTTATAAGAAAAGAGAAAGAAAACGTCTCAGATCTCCCACCTTCTCTCTCTCTCTCTCTCTCTCTCTCTCTCTCTCTCTCTCTCTCTCTCTGAGAGCTCCCTTCCTGTAATTGCAGTATAACTATGAAGATTTTTCTGTTTCTCACATAAAAAGAGTCTGAAAAGTTCATTTGGTTAAATTGTTAAAATCTTACTTTATTAACTTACTTTAAGTCTATTAGATGTCAAGCAAGGATTTTTTTTGTGAAAATATAAACTAAACATAAAAGGACAGAGAATATCATTGCATATATAATACGCAATCTTGAGTTTCAACAGAACTACTGTTGCTGCTGATAAGATGGGATATTTAAGCTGTAGCAGAATTGTTAATGCTTTTCTTTTATAATTCCCATTCTTCTCTTTTGTTTTTTCTTTTTAGTTACTCAGTTGTTTGAAGCTTAAATGTTTGCTTTCCCTTTTCTGGACATCGAATCTCTCAGCTAAGGCCCTAAGGACCTCTTTCCCTAGCACTCAGCAGAATCAAAGGTTCCAAAGGCCTTTTTCTTATATTCTGTCACATATTGAATGATCTGTTTGGATCATTTTAAGATACAACGCCATAGCAATATTATGCTGATGTTAGACACTATTCTTGGTTTAGAATTTTAAAGTCAGATTTCTGATATATTGCCTTTGGCCTCCTCCCTCCCAATTGTAGTGTTCTCGGATAGTCACAAGTACGTTGTATATGCAGGTAAACAGCTTTAAAGATGGAAGGACTTGGTTGATCATAATGTGCAGAAGGAGTTATGCTTTGCTTCACCCACGTCTGTGATTGTTTTGAAGATACTGCTAATATTTTAAGTTCTTCAAATTGTTGACGTGAACTGATATCTTAAATTGTTCTTTGTGCTATAAGAAAATATAGCAGTAGTATTCGCACTTAGCTGTATATTGGAAGGAGTAGGCACCATTAAAATGGATGCTGGGGTCTTAGGTTTCTATTTATGAAGAATGTGATCAGATGAATGTAATCTAAGTTTGGTTTCCTTCTTGTTTTCTGGTGGATGATTCTGTTTTTTCTTCTAACGTATGGAACAGTTTGCTTCAAAGTGCCAATGGCTGGATTTTTTTCCACTTATGTCAGTGTTCTGAACCAAGTTGAGGTGAAATCTCCAGTCTTGACAAAATTTGTTTCGCTTAGGACTTCTACAGCTCTACTTTTACTACCGGAGGAGCTATCTTTGTGACTAAAAGTGAGATCTACACTTGATCAGGGAATTGTGAAACCAAGATCATTTGTTCTTCAAAACATTAAAGAAAAGCAATTACAATTGAACTTCTGTATATTTTCTTTTTAAATTTATTGTGCATTTGTCTTGCTAAAATTCGATTCCATTAGTTCAAGCTTTACTGCTCATGAAATGCAAAGTCACATGTTTTTACAAAGGATAATTACGGTATGCTAATATGGCAACTCTTCCCATTCCTGTCAAGTATTCTTCTTTGGCTGATCCTCTTTGTTATTGATGATTTGGTACTTTGGGTTGCAAACTGTGTGAGAATCCGTAAATCCCTAATAATTTTTCTTAGGGTTTTTCCCATTTAAAGGCATAATTTTTGCATTTTCTGGTTTAGGAAAATTCTCCTGGTAAATTTTATGAGTAATTATAGTTTTTAGATGATTTTTCTAGTATTGGAGAGTTTTTGAAAAATTAAGAGTATATAATGGACGTGGGACCCACTAGTGCGAAAAGTTCGGAAAAATTCGGCCAATAAGGTTAAGTTTCGGATACTGTGTAAAATTTATCGGGTGTTAAGAGATAAGTAGAGGATGTGAAGTGATTGATGTGAGAGGAAAAAGAAAAGATAAAATTGCATTAATGAGGTGCCAAGTGTCATTGTATCATTGGTTGGACTTTCTTGGATACTATTCACTCTTTTGACCTTTTGACCATTGAGTTAAATATCTCCAAAAATCACTAAAATTTCACCATTTCTTCTCCTCCATGGCCGGCTCTCTCTAGACCAAAGAAGAAGGAAACTCTTCAACTTTTAAGCTTCCATTTAGTTCAATCTTCCAAAACCAATAACATAAATTAGATTCTACTCCATAAAATCCCACCCTTTGGTGATAGTGAGTGTTTTGGTGAAGGTTTTTGGAGAAGTTAAGGTGTTCTACAACTTCCTCTCTCTTGTTTGCTTGGTAAGTGGTGATCGACTATCCTCCTATACCTAATGATGCTTAATTTGTGCCTAGTGGTGGCTAAAGTGATGATATTTGTGGTTTATTTCTTGTTTTTGGATGAAATGGTGAAGTTTACAATTTATTGGAGATTTTTCTGGTTTAATGTGATTATGATGTTGTGGTTATTTATGATGGTGGTAATGAGGGGTAATGACTCTAGTAGGTGTGAATTATTGATAATTGCAACCAATTTTGGGTTTGGATTGAAATGAGAAAAGTTAGGGTTTCATAACCCCCTTTTCTATCCGGTTTTGGATCATATGGTTAGAGGACGAATTGGCCTTTGCTTAAAACATGAAAGTTGTAGGTATTGATGTGTTTGAGGTGCCTGTAAAATTTCAGGTCATTTGGAATAGTGTAAAGTGAGATATGTCAATTTTACTGTTGCTGTTCTGGGTGATCAGAATGCGCGAACTGCGTCTGAAATGGGTTGTTTTGGCTGGGATTGGTTTGGATTTTGTTGTTGGTGTCTTCTGATGAAATGTAGCTTGATGTCCTAGCTATCATATGCCTTTGGAATTTCGGCATTTGGACCTGTATAGACTGAGTTGTACTGATTACAGCATAGTGTGATTTGGAAACCTGCAATTACGGTTCTGGTTTGGTATTCTGCCTTTTTGACCTAGTTGTGCTAGGATTTGGAAGTCCCGTTAAACCTTTAGCTTACAAAGGATGCCAGTTGTATCGCCACCAATTTGTCCAGCACAGGCGATCCAGTACTTCTTTCTCTGAGCATCCACCTTGCACCAAGCTGGTTCATTGCATTTGTTACTGTGATGCCAATTCCCATATTAAGGCCTTCAGTGTGTTGCCCCACATGTATATGAACGCTCAGGATGTCTTGCCCTGGTTCCCTCGTTTGCTGTTGTTCATTTGCTATTTCTGTTTCGGAAATGCTCATACATTGCTGTACCTGTTGGCAGTTATGGTACTCCTCAAAGTCATTCGCTGCCTTTCTGACTACCTCCATTGGATGCCTATATTTGCCTTCAAATTCTACTTAATTCCTGGATTTCCAAATGTGCCAAAGGATATCCACAGTTAGACAAATGTGTTGCATTCCATCCTTTCGTTCCTTTACTCCCATTAGCCTGCTCCACCACTTCCTGAAATCAGTTGTGTCCTCATAAATCCCATCCCACTGTAACGGAGCCATCTTCCATATAAGCTTTGCTTTGCTACATTGGAAGAAAATGTGCTCAACCGTCTCATTTGTTTCTCCACACTGTTTACAGATTAGCTCTCCCTTACCCGTTCTCCTAAATATAGCTTCTCTTACGGGTAACACCTGGTGTAAACACTTCCATAAAAACAACTTGTGTTTGTGTCTTATTCTCAATTTCCATAGCTGTTTCTAGACTTTGTTGCAGCCCCCAATCCAGCTTGTTTCTCCCAGACTGCTCGCATGTTGTTTAGGCATCGTATCCTCCGCTGTGAAGGCTTCATACGCAGATCTGACCGTGTATTTTCCAGTGGTGCCGTGCCTCCAGTAGTAACAATCAGGTCTCTTTGTCACACTAATAGGTATTTTGAGTATATTCCTAGCTTCATGTGGACTGAAGGTTCGGAAGATGAGTGGTGATTTCCATCTGAAACTGGAGATCAGCTCGCTAACTTTTGTGATGGTGCATCCCAGTGGTTTTGGGGATTCTACCTTGCCTTGCTTCCCTTCCAAAAGCCAAGCATCTTCCCAAATGTTAGTGCTCTTCCCATTTCCAATTTTTTTTCTAACCCCACTGCATACCTCATCTCTTACTCCCATTAGACTCTTCCATATCCATGATGCATTTCCTCTTACTTCACAACCCAGTAGAGAAGTGTTGGGGTAGTACTTGGCTCTCAGCACTTTACTAAGCAAAAGATTGGGGCATGTGAGAATTCTCCAAATCTGTTTGCCTAGTAAGGCTTTGTTGAAGCCTTGGAGATCTTTAAAGCCAAGTCCTCCCTTGTTCTTTGTAGTTGACATCTTTTTCCATGAACACCAATGCATTCTCGTTCTCCCATTGTCATCCCCCCACCAGAATCCTGCCATCATGGCATTGATTTCTTTGCATAACTTTACTGGAAGCTTAAAACAAGACATTGCGTAAGTTGGCATTGCCATGGTTACTGCTTTGAGCAACACCTCCTTCCCAGCTTGACTTAAGCGTTTGTTGGACCAGTTAAGGATCGTTTCTTTGCATTTTTCTCTAATGAAACCAAAAAGTTGGTCTTTGGTTCTAGTGATGACCATAGGCAGCCCCAAATACTTCCCTTGCTTCACCACCTTTATGTGTTCCAAGTAGCTGCAGATTTCTCCTTGATCTTTTGGTTCCACATTTTTGCTAAAGAACACAGACGATTTTTCCATGTTGATCAGCTGTCCAGACTCTTGTTCATAAATCTTCAAAATTCTGCTAACTTCTTCAGCTTGTCTCTTGTCTGCTTTGCAAAAGATTAGCGAGTCATCTTGTGAAGGCCCCACCTCCCCCTAGGGCGTACCCCAGGGTTCGGCGGGTTACCTGCTCAACTCTCGCCGGGACTCACTCACTACAAATCTCAAACAAAATGCAATATAAATCTCAAATTTTACATCAATTTCTCCAAGAATTACATATCACAAACCCACTCAAGTCCAAACGTTCATACAATCCCTAATAACAACTATTACACAAGATGATATCCAAAACTCAAACCATACATGAGATAATCCATCCGGTCACATGAATACGTGCTACAAGCACTTCCTTCGTCTCGAGCCCTGTGGAGGGGAATAAAACATTTTGGAGGTGAGCTAAAACCTCAGCGAGTAACCAATAAAATCAGTAAGCAAATCAGTTTCACAGTCGTTCATTTCAGTGATGTCATGGTTCCAAGATCAAATGTACATTTATTGCTCTCGTGAGCCAGTGAAATCGTTGTACTTAAACACCCAACGCTCCAAACAAACATTTAACAGTAAACAGTCAGAGGGGGAGCCATTTGCTCCAGATGAACAGTACACAGAGGTGGAGACGTTGGTGTTCAGCACACGAATTCCAAGTACTCATTTAAGCCAAAACATGTCATGGGCCACATGCAAACACTCATGATATGCAATCAAGTAAATAGTGCAAGAAACGGTTCATAAGTAACTTTGGAAACAGTTTAAGGTCACTCACCTCCACGGCTCAGAAGCCATCCGTCATATACCATTATCTTGTCCGAATCCAAGCCTTAAAACCCAAAAACAAATTTGATGTCATTTAGTGGTTTTGGCACCATTGGCACTACGATTATCGGATGGAGGTGTAAGATACACCGTTTCGAAGCTAAGAGATAGGGCTACAATGTTACAGAAGGTCACTCAGCCCAGATCATAATGTAGCTAGGTCAAAATTGACATATATGAAACCAGAATCTCACAAACAGGTTGGCTAACCGCACAATTGTTAAACAGCAATAACTCAGGCTAACGAAGTCCGATTGAAATGTATCTTATGGTGTTTCGAAGCTAAAACACAACCCTACATTTCTTATGAAGACCTACAAGGCCAAATCATGCATTTTCATGATAAAAAATGGAAGACTACACGAAAACAGAATTCTGGGCGCGAAACAGGTTTCATGGACAGTCAAGGGTATTTCAGTCATTTCACATGCTACAGTGGTCTGATCAAGCTGAAAGTTTTCAGGCAACTAGTTTATACTATTGGCTACAACTTTCATGTTTTGGCCAAAATCTAATTCGGTAAGGATCATGGTGAAAAGTCACGGTCAGGTTGGGTGAAAAGACAACCCTGTTCACTGAACTCCTACCTAGACCAGTCTGAGTATTTCCGTCTTATCTCA